AGAAAGTTATGTATTCAAATGAAGAAACTTGTTATCGTGTATAAAGATTACTAATGGCTGCCGTCGAGGAAAAATGAACACAGTTTGTTCATTATTTAGGCATTAATTAGTCCCCGTGGCGTAGTTGTGAGACGCTCGCCTGGCGTTTCGCAAGCGCTTTGCCCTGGGTTCGTATCCTGGCCGAGGAGGATTTACTGGGCGCAAATCCTTAACTGTAACCTCTGTTTAACCCAACAGTAAAATGGATACCTGGTTGGTAAACGATTTGGCGGGTCGTATTAAGGTGAACATAGGATTAAGGACCTGCCCGAAACTCTATTCGTACTAGTGGCTGTACAAGAATGTAATAACTCATGTATATATATATATATATATATATATATATATATTTATATATATATATATATATATATATATATATATATATATATATATATATATATATATAACTGAAAACTCACACCCCAGAAGTGACTCGAACCCATACTCCCAGAAGCAACGCAACTGGTATGTACAAGACGCCTTAATCCACTTGACCATCACGACCGGACATAATGAGGTGATAGCCGAGGCTATTTGAACCACCCCACCGCCGGCACTCGGATAGTTATCTTGGGCATAGCATTTTACCAAATCACCTCATTCTTAGGGGCACACGTGAGGAACACAAATGCGAACAAGCCAGAATGGTCCCCTGGACAATATGCAACTGAAAACTCACACCCCAGAAGTGACTCGAACCCATACTCCCAGAAGCAACGCAACTGGTATGTACAAGACGCCTTAATCCACTTGACCATCACGACCGGACATAATGAGGTGATAGCCGAGGCTATTTGAACCACCCCACCGCCGGCACTCGGATAGTTATCTGGGCATAGCATTTTACCAAATCACCTCATTCTTAGGGGCACACGTGAGGAACACAAATGCGAACAAGCCAGAATGGTCCCCTGGACAATATGCAACTGAAAACTCACACCCCAGAAGTGACTCGAACCCATACTCCCAGAAGCAACGCAACTGGTATGTACAAGACGCCTTAATCCACTTGACCATCACGACCGGACATAATGAGGTGATAGCCGAGGCTATTTGAACCACCCCACCGCCGGCACTCGGATAGTTATCTTGGACATAGCATTTTACCAAATCACCTCATTCTTAGGGGCACACGTGAGGAACACAAATGCGAACAAGCCAGAATGGTCCCCTGGACAATATGCAACTGAAAAACTCACACCCCAGAAGTGACTCGAACCCATACTCCCAGAAGCAACGCAACTGGTATGTACAAGACGCCTTAATCCACTTGACCATCACGACCGGACATAATGAGGTGATAGCCGAGGCTATTTGAACCACCCCACCGCCGGCACTCGGATAGTTATCTTGGGCATAGCATTTTACCAAATCACCTCATTCTTAGGGGGCACACGTGAGGAACACAAATGCGAACAAGCCAGAATGGTCCCCTGGACAATATGCAACTGAAAACTCACACCCCAGAAGTGACTCGAACCCATACTCCCAGAAGCAACGCAACTGGTATGTACAAGACGCCTTAATCCACTTGACCATCACGACCGGACATAATGAGGTGATAGCCGAGGCTATTTGAACCACCCCACCGCCGGCACTCGGATAGTTATCTTGGGCATAGCATTTTACCAAATCACCTCATTCTTAGGGGCACACGTGAGGAACACAAATGCGAACAAGCCAGAATGGTCCCCTGGACAATATGCAACTGAAAACTCACACCCCAGAAGTGACTCGAACCCATACTCCCAGAAGCAACGCAACTGGTATGTACAAGACGCCTTAATCCACTTGACCATCACGACCGGACATAATGAGGTGATAGCCGAGGCTATTTGAACCACCCCACCGCCGGCACTCGGATAGTTATCTTGGGCATAGCATTTTACCAAATCACCTCATTCTTAGGGGCACACGTGAGGAACACAAATGCGAACAAGCCAGAATGGTCCCCTGGACAATATGCAACTGAAAACTCACACCCCAGAAGTGACTCGAACCCATACTCCCAGAAGCAACGCAACTGGTATGTACAAGACGCCTTAATCCACTTGACCATCACGACCGGACATAATGAGGTGATAGCCGAGGCTATTTGAACCACCCCACCGCCGGCACTCGGATAGTTATCTTGGGCATAGCATTTTACCAAATCACCTCATTCTTAGGGGCACACGTGAGGAACACAAATGCGAACAAGCCAGAATGGTCCCCTGGACAATATGCAACTGAAAACTCACACCCCAGAAGTGACTCGAACCCATACTCCCAGAAGCAACGCAACTGGTATGTACAAGACGCCTTAATCCACTTGACCATCACGACCGGACATAATGAGGTGATAGCCGAGGCTATTTGAACCACCCCACCGCCGGCACTCGGATAGTTATCTTGGGCATAGCATTTTACCAAATCACCTCATTCTTAGGGGCACACGTGAGGAACACAAATGCGAACAAGCCAGAATGGTCCCCTGGACAATATGCAACTGAAAACTCACACCCCAGAAGTGACTCGAACCCATACTCCCAGAAGCAACGCAACTGGTATGTACAAGACGCCTTAATCCACTTGACCATCACGACCGGACATAATGAGGTGATAGCCGAGGCTATTTGAACCACCCCACCGCCGGCACTCGGATAGTTATCTTGGGCATAGCATTTTACCAAATCACCTCATTCTTAGGGGCACACGTGAGGAACACAAATGCGAACAAGCCAGAATGGTCCCCTGGACAATATGCAACTGAAAACTCACACCCCAGAAGTGACTCGAACCCATACTCCCAGAAGCAACGCAACTGGTATGTACAAGACGCCTTAATCCACTTGACAATCACGACCGGACATAATGAGGTGATAGCCGAGGCTATTTGAACCACCCCACCGCCGGCACTCGGATAGTTATCTTGGGCATAGCATTTTACCAAATCACCTCATTCTTAGGGGCACACGTGAGGAACACAAATGCGAACAAGCCAGAATGGTCCCCTGGACAATATGCAACTGAAAACTCACACCCCAGAAGTGACTCGAACCCATACTCCCAGAAGCAACGCAACTGGTATGTACAAGACGCCTTAATCCACTTGACCATCACGACCGGACATAATGAGGTGATAGCCGAGGCTATTTGAACCACCCCACCGCCGGCACTCGGATAGTTATCTTGGGCATAGCATTTTACCAAATCACCTCATTCTTAGGGGCACACGTGAGGAACACAAGTGTGCCCCTAAGAATGAGGTGATTTGGTAAAATGCTATGCCCAAGATAACTATCCGAGTGCCGGCGGTGGGGTGGTTCAAATAGCCTCGGCTATCACCTCATTATGTCCGGTCGTGATGGTCAAGTGGATTAAGGCTTCTTGTACATACCAGTTGCGTTGCTTCTGGGAGTATGGGTTCGAGTCACTTCTGGGGTGTGAGTTTTCAGTTGCATATTGTCCAGGGGACCATTCTGGCTTGTTCGCATTTGTGTTCCTCACGTGTGCCCCTAAGAATGAGGTGATTTGGTAAAATGCTATGCCCAAGATAACTATCCGAGTGCCGGCGGTGGGGTGGTTCAAATAGCCTCGGCTATCACCTCATTATGTCCGGTCGTGATGGTCAAGTGGATTAAGGCGTCTTGTACATACCAGTTGCGTTGCTTCTGGGAGTATGGGTTCGAGTCACTTCTGGGGTGTGAGTTTTCAGTTGCATATTGTCCAGGGGACCATTCTGGCTTGTTCGCATTTGTGTTCCTCACGTGTGCCCCTAAGAATGAGGTGATTTGGTAAAATGCTATGCCCAAGATAACTATCCGAGTGCCGGCGGTGGGGTGGTTCAAATAGCCTCGGCTATCACCTCATTATGTCCGGTCGTGATGGTCAAGTGGATTAAGGCGTCTTGTACATACCAGTTGCGTTGCTTCTGGGAGTATGGGTTCGAGTCACTTCTGGGGTGTGAGTTTTCAGTTGCATATTGTCCAGGGGACCATTCTGGCTTGTTCGCATTTGTGTTCCTCACGTGTGCCCCTAAGAATGAGGTGATTTGGTAAAATGCTATGCCCAAGATAACTATCCGAGTGCCGGCGGTGGGGTGGTTCAAATAGCCTCGGCTATCACCTCATTATGTCCGGTCGTGATGGTCAAGTGGATTAAGGCGTCTTGTACATACCAGTTGCGTTGCTTCTGGGAGTATGGGTTCGAGTCACTTCTGGGGTGTGAGTTTTCAGTTGCATATTGTCCAGGGGACCATTCTGGCTTGTTCGCATATATATATATATATATATATATATATATATATATATATATATATATATATATATATATATATATATATATATATATGTCGTACCTAGTAGCCAGAACGCACTTCTCAGCCTACTATACAAGGCCCGATTTGCCTAATAAGCCAAGTTTTCATGAATTATTTGTTTTTCGACTACCTAACCTACCTAACCTTACCTAACCTAACTTTTTCGGCTACCTAACTTAACCTAACCTATAAAGATAGGTTAGGTTAGGTTAGGTAGGGTTGGTTAGGTTCGGTCATATATCTACGTTAATTTTATCTCCAATAAAAAAAATTGACCTCATATAGAATAAAATGAGTAGCTTTATCATTTCATAAGAAAAAAATTAGAGAAAATATATTACTTCTGGAAAACTTGGCTTATTAGGCAAATCGGGCCATGCATAGTAGGCTGAGAAGTGCGTTCTGGCTACTAGGTACGACATATATATATATATATATATATATATATATATATATATATATATATATTATATATATATATATATATATAATATATTCAGGTTTATGTCCTGCCCGGCGTCGGGCAGGTCCCGACGCCGGGACCTGCCCGGCGTCGGAGGAGTTCGAGGAAATCTACAGCCTCTAGGAAGCGAACTTTTTCTTGTGTCCTCTTAATGTTTATTTTTTGTATAAAATCAGATATGTAACTGTATAACCTTGCATAATAAAGTGTACATCATAATAAATAAAAAAAAAAAAAAAAAAAAGGGGGTGGTAGGAGAAGTGAACACTCTTTCGTATTCAGAGTTAAATGTCAAGTTTTTCCCTGAGTGCTCTGTGTTCCCTTCTCTGAGGCTGTGGGTCCCTATAAATGCACCAGTGGTGGTACCCCCCTATATATATATATATATATATATATATATATATATATATATATATATATATATATATATATATAAATATATATATATATATATATATATATATATATATAAAATAAATAAATTCAAATTATGATTGTTCACAGATGTTAGAATACGAAACATAAACGTTTAAAAAACTTTCGAATGCTCTTAACACCAAACTAAATATTTTACTTCTTTCAGGATATTGACGGTGGCCGTCTAGAATTTAAAAGTGTTCCTAAGATGCTTTATTTTTATGATTCATTAAGTTTCCTTTTTTGAAAAACTTCTCTCTACTTTCCTCCTTGAACACTATGTTGTTTTAACATATATTCAATTTGTCATTGGAAAAAATTTAATAAAATTAAATATTAGGAAAATCATGGGCTGTTTTGAGCAAACTAAAAAAAATAATAAAATTTATTTTCTCCCACTGAATGAGTATCCAGAGATAGGCATTAATTTTTATTTATTTAGTTTTGTTCTTTTGAGTGAGAAAGAAAGAAAGAAAAAATATAGTAATAAGTTTAAATAAATTGCCTCACCTGAGAGATTCTTGGGTCTATGTCAGTGACATACCCAATGAGCCACATGCCTGGAGCCACATACCCGGTGTGCCACATGCCTGAAACCACATGCCCGGTGCCACATGCCTGAAACCACATGCCCGGTGCCACATACCCGGTGTGCCACATGCCCGGTACCACATGCCCGATGCGACATGCTCGGAGCCACATGCCCAGAGCCACATGCCCGGTGCCACATGCCCGGTGGGCCACATGCTCGGTGAGCCACATGCCCTGTGCCACATACCCGGTGCCACATGCCCGGTGTGTCACATGCCCGGTGCCACATGCCCGGTGCCAGGACACACAAGTCCTACGCAGAACCATTATTTCGGCGCCTGTTCCTTAGCGGCCGAGCCCATCCCTTCTGGTCTCAGAACTTGTGGTGGCAGACTTGCAGTCATCTAATGTCATAACTTGCGTCATCGTCACCATTCCTTCACTTTCTGACAACTGTCTGCTACGAATCTGCAGTCATTTCCCAGAGTTCATGATTGCATCTATTTTCTATATCATCTGCAATATACAGGGATCTCCCACCCTCACCAGCCACTTGGGCTGGACGGTAGAGCGACGGTCTCGCTTCATGCAAGTCGGCATTCAATCCCCGACCGTCCAAGCGGTTGGGCACTATTTCTTCGCCCCGTCTCATCCCAAATCCTTATCCTGACCCCTTCCCAGCGCAATTTAGTCGTAATGGCTTGGAGCTTTCTCTTGATAGTTCCCTTCCCTTACATTACCCATCCCTACACACCTCCCCTCTGACTTCCTACACCTGAAGTAATCAAGTAAGTAAAGTAAGTCAAGTAAATTTTATTCAGGAAATACATACATAGTTGATTTATAAGCATAATGTTGGATTTATAGATAGAGCTAGAACATACAATACCTAAAGCCACTAGTACGCATAAGGTTTAGGGCTGATATTTTGAGCCCGAAAGTGATATGTTGTTTGTCTCTATAAGTGATTCAATAGTACTCCTGTGCCTCGAAGTCTCTCAGAAGTGACCATTCATTATATACCTGTCTTCTGCTCGGCCTTCTCTCTTTCCTTAAGTAGCGTTGTTGTGGAGGCTGGTAACTCAGGTTATATGATGTGAGTGACGTCCGTGATGTCACTCAGTGATGTGAGGGACGTCTGTGATGTCACTCGGTGATGTGACATTATTATTATTAACCCATTTAGGTACGTGTGCATTTGTTCCACTGCCCAACACTATATGAAAGGGAAGTACAGAGTTTGTCATGCATTAGCTACGTGATGCTAAAAATCTCCTTCACACAAGATGGTTAGTCATACAGGGCCATGTGGTGAGTGGTCTGCACTGGCAAACCCTGGGTGCAGTAGGACGATATCCTCAAGAACACGAGAGGTAATAAAGTAATTGTAAAGCTCCTGGTACCTCATGCCAACGGGTCTAAATGGTCTCATAACTGGGCATTCGGTGATGTAGTGCGGGAGATCATGCCGCAGTTCCTGCTCACAGAGTTTGCAACTGGAGTGCTCAGGATTGGGAGATCCGTCACCTGCAGCCACCTGCCACAGGTAACGGTAACCCAACCTGATCCTGGCAACCACTGTGTCGCACAGTCTAGTGGACGTTTTGTGCTGTCCATAGATATAGGTTTCAGACCTGTCCGAACTTCATCTTTTTTACACGCTAATTTGGCAGCAATATCTGTGTCATTATGATGGGTTATATATATGTGTGATGGTCCATACAAAGGAGATTCGAAACCCTTTACTCTGTGCAGCGATTAGTTCATTTATAATTGATAGTATAAGGTTCTTGCTGTCGTTCTTCCAGAAAAAGTGTTCACTTGCTTGAAGAGCAGAATTTGAATCCCATAATATTTTGAAATTATGATCGCATATAGTAACATCCATAACTGAAAACTCACATCCCAGAAGTGACTCGAACCCATACTGCCAGGAGCAACGCAACTGGTATGTACAGGACGTCTTAATCCACATGACCATCACGACCAGACAAAAACTGATGGTAGCTGAGGCTATTTAGCCCATCAGCCCGATGGCACTCTGATGGTAATCTTTGGCATAGCATTTTATCAAATCACCTCATTCTTTGAGGCACACGTGAGGAACACAAATGCGAACAAGCCTGAATGGTCCCTAGGACTATATGCAACTGAAAACACACACACCCCAGTCGTGATTCGAATACTGATTCGAATAATAGATTCGATAATACGCACTTATACTGTCAGGAGCAACGCAACTGGTATCTACAGGACGCCTTAATCCACTTGACCATCACAACCGGACAAAAACTGATGGTAGCCGAGACTCTCAAAACTCACACCCCAGAAGTGACTCGAACCCATACTTCCAGGAGCAACGCAACTGGTATGTACAGGACGCATTAATCCACTTGACCATCACTACCGGACAAAAACTGATGGTAGTCGAGGCTATTTAGCCCATCAGCCCACCGGCACTCTGATGGTAATCTTGGGCATAGCATTTGATTAAATCACCTCATTCTTTGGGGCACACGTGAGGAACACAAATGCGAACAAGCCTGAATGGTCCCCAGGACTATATGCAACTGAAAACTCAGTCATCTTAAAGCCATAACAATGGCAGTTAGCTCTGCTTCCGATGAAGAGGTATAGTTCTCAATATGTTTTTTTTTTCATTTCCGCGTTGAAAGGCATTATTCCTAATTACAGTGTATGCTGCACCAGCCCTGCCATTGGTAGGATTAGATAACACATCAGCATAGATTTGATCTAACTAATTTCCAGCTTCTTTATAAATTTTCTCACGATACTTGTGCCTCATTTCTTGTGGTAACATATTGGACTTTTTCGTTGTCATTTTGTTGATGATAATCTTGCATGGGTCATCCTCCCAGGGAGGTAACCTCTCTACAGGCAGGAGCTCATGGGCTTGCTCAAGCAGGTGAAGGCTTTTGAGGTAGCAGACTGATCTGTGATGCCATTTTTTGTTTTTCCTGTTTCCTCCTGAATGTAGCACAGAACTTAGTTTTTTCTTGGCAATATCATTGTAATATGGGTCCCTGGCTATCTTAATTGCATGCTTAATTAGCATTCACTTCTTTACTTCTGCTTTTACGACTGGAAAGGGGCAACTCCTCTCGTAGATTAGATGTTCTGGCAGTTCTTGGGACTCCAGGAATGATTGACATGGCTTTATTTTGTGTGCTTTCAAGTTTTTTCATGTTGGTTTGGGTATAAGTGCACAAAACTGGTGCTGCATAGGCTATGACGAAGCGCACATAGGCTGTGTACATCATTTTAAACACGGCAATAGAGGCTCCATGCCCATTCCAGGTCATAGCTTTCAATGCCCTGAGTCGACATTTGCATGTTCCTACGAGTTGGTTGAGCTCATCTTTCTTCCTCTTGTTAGAGCCGAGAGTGACGCAAAGGTACCGATAGTGGTCAACCCACACAAGTGTTTCACCATTAATTGTTAGCTTATCATTTTAATCCCACTTATAAGAGTATGCTTTTATCTCGTTTGTGGAGAGACTAAAACCGAGTTCAACACACTTCCTTCTAGTGCTTCCTTCCTTCCTTCCTTCCAGGGAGGAGCTTGTATTAGGACATCATCTGTATATCCCACTTCCTTCCGGAAGTGGGATATCAACACGAGTGTATATCTCGTGTTCCTTCCGGAAATTCAATATTTGCAATGGCGTTCATATGTTGAATAGTGTTGGACTTAACACTCCTCCTTTATGGGCCCCGAGTTCCATAATCATTGTTCTCGAGACTGCTCCGTTGAAGCAGACCTTGGCTTTCCTCCCTGTGAGGTAGTCTTCAATCTATTTCAAGAGTCTCCCCTTGACACCTATGCATGCAAGCTCATCCAGGTTTGCAATCCCTTATGCTTTGTCAAAAGCTCCTTTGATGTCAACAAATATAGAGTACTTAGCTGTGTCATTAGCTAAGTAATTAGATATACAATTTGCTATGCTCCGTTCTTTAACAAATTCGTTGACCCCTTTCCTAAGCCTGCCCAGTTTGTGCAACAATCGGTTTCAGATGATCCTTTCAAGCATCTTGCATGTGCATGACACGAGACTGATAAGTCTGTGATTGCCAGAGTCCTCTGGTGTAGAGAAGTATGAGATGTTAACCAGACTACACACTAGAAGGTGAAGGGACGACGAAGTTTCGGTCCGTCCTGAACCATTCGTCCTGAAGTCGATTGTGATGAGGGAAGATAAAGGCAATAAATAGGCAAGAGAGAGGTGAGGAGCTAGGCAAAAGGTACGAAAGGTAAGGTGTAGTTGAGGAATAAGAATAGTAGTAGGAATAAGAACTGCTGAAGGCCCATTGGCCCATACGAGGTAGCTTCTATTAATAACCACCCAATGAGAAGGGGATAGTAATAGGAATAAGAAGATAATAGCAAGGGAACGTAAGAGAAAACAATGGACAGAAAAAGAAAAAAGGAAAAAGAAAGATAAATGGAAGGGTAAGCTTATGTTAGGTCACGTTTGTTAGAAAGATTAGAGCATTTGGGTATATACTGTGAAAGAGAGGAGTCAACAGCAACAAAGCCAGGACTCAAGTTCATGTTGGGTACATTGTGTTTACTAGTTGGGTACATTGTGTATTAGAGCCGATTCAACAAGACGGCGTCTGTGTAGAGTAGAGGCAGGAAAGATTCCTTTGGAGGAAGACCAATCAATAGGATGATTAGAATCCCTCACATGACAAGAGAGAATTGTTTGTGTCTGCAGACTTAACACTTTTTTTGTGTTCTTTAAGTCTGTCATTAAGTGTATGGCCAGTTTCGCCAAAGTATTGGAGAGGACAAGACGAACAGGAAATAAAGTAGACACCAGCAGCATTAGAAGCAGGAGGAGCAGTGTGAACCAGATTGCTACAAAGTGTGTTAGTTTGTCGAAAGGCGAGTTTAATGTCAAGAGGACGAAAGGTATTGGTATAAGTTTTGAGTTCAGATATGAAGGGAAGACATAGTACAGTGCTATTAGTGTTGGAAGCAGGTTTAGGATGAAAGAAATTTCGTTTAGCTTGAGAATAGACACTGTTGATAAAATGAAAAGGGTAACCAAGGCGAGAGAATGATTTGTAGATAAAGGCAATTTCAGAATCAAGAAACTGAGGGTCGCTGATGCGTAGAGCGCGGAGGAAGAGAGACGAGGACACTTTTCTTAACAGAAGGAAGATGGTAGGAAATGAAGTAAATGTACATGCCACTATGCATGGGTTGTCGTCATCCCTTCACCTTCTAGTGTGTGGTCTGGTCAACATACTTCAGCCACGTTATTGTGACTCATCGTCTGCACAAGTATGAGATGCAAAAC